CTTTAGGCCTATGCGCATTATAAGTTGGGCCTATTTTCAATACATTCTATGAAGTACCGTATATTGTTGTGTATCTTTTTGTAGATTTTCCTTGTTTGGATTTGCTTTGACCCAATTGTATAATTATAACACATTACAGATTACCCTATCCAAAGCTAAAATATGAAAAAGGAAAATATTCGCTGCGAGCAGGGTTCGAACCCATTGGATTTCAAGTCCAACGCCTTAACCACTCGGCCATCACAGCTGCCTACCACCTACTGGAAAAAGCTCACTTCCTATTTTTGTTGGCTGCATCTTTGGCCGGGCGAAGTAAACATAAAAAGAGCAGAAAAACTCCATCCGCTATAGCAGGGGTGAGCATAAAATTGTTCTGAGGGTCAGACTGAATCTATGTTGTAACATCGAGAGCCGCAAGGAAACTTAATTTGGAGATTTTAAATTCCTTCACCATCATGATGTCAGTGAGAATTGTTTTACATATTTTTTTTTTACATTCTAGTTAGTTTTGATCATTAAATTGTATTTGTTTTAATAATTATCAACTACAAACTTTAATTTCGTTCATTCCGTTAATACATTAGAGCGGTGGGCATAAAAATATTTCGGGGGTGGGGGAAAACTAATCTATTTTCTTTAACGAAAGCCGGGCAAGCAGGCTTGTCTAAGAAAGTATAATCAGGGAACAGTGAAATTACATTCCCTAGTATAATACATAGGCCTACTCCAAGTATACTAAATACGCCAGGATCAATATTTCGACATTTAATTATGTCATCATGTAATCATCAGGAATGAAAAATTAAAAATTACCTACAGTGTAGGATTTTGCTCATTCAAGAAAGGCCTGTTGTTGAGTTCCCCAAAAAAGTGTGACAATAAACAAAAGAGCCAAAGCAAGCAGTTGTATTGTGATCATAAAAATAGATTGAAATAGGAGTAAATAATGCAAGGTCTTATTGTGTTTTAAATCCGGCCGGGGACAGACCTCAACAATATTATGACTCTACCTATGCTATTAAATATTGGACAGACACACAAAATAAGTTGTAATGGTCAATTGCAAACAGTAGGTCAAGGTATCTAGGTATCTTTATTTTATCACAAGATTAAACCTATT